TAACAGATACAACCTTTGATTTTAATAATGTATTTGTAAATACTGAATTAACTTTAACTGCCTTAGTAGTATTTTTCATTGTTAGTTCATGTTATCTAATGTAGTTAACTAAAGTAGTATAACCAGTGTTATCAAATGTTCTGTTTAAATTGTGTGAGTTTCACAGATTTTGGTTGAAGATCACGTAAGAGTTTGGCCTTTAGAAGGTCAGGTCAAACATTCTCAGATTTTTCCATCATGAGCTGATGGTGATTTAGGTCTCGTATCTGGAGAATTGAGACGTCACATGTCACCTTTATTTATATAGCGCTTAACAATACCGATTGTGTCAAAGCAGCATATCACATGTCATATCATGGGAATTAGTGCTGCTGTCTCAGTCTTGGATATATTTACATTTACACTGAATCATTTAGCAGACCCTTTTATCCGAAGTAACTTATAAATGAACAGAAGCAGAATCAAACCAAGAATCGGGCAACAGCATGCGAGTGCTGATCGTCTTTTCCAGTCGTTGTTGTATTTTTTTATTAATTAAACCAATGGGAATGATATTTGAACCATCGGCACATTTTGAAACTTACATTTGATTGATAGTTTACATATTTACAGAGGTAGAAAACAGGAAGTTAAATGAGAACACAGTGAGAGCATGTGGGTTATGTACACTTACAAACTTACCAAAATGATCATTTAAGTCTTGAAAGGTTAGTTCTTTCCCATATTTTATGTGCTATGAGCAATATATAGACTTTTTCATGTTGCCGAGGTGCATTGCTGAAAATCCCTTTGTCATCGTGTGTCACTATCAATTCGATCACACAGTTGATATCCCAGATGTTCAAGATTTTTCCAACATCATTCATCGTCTGATATGTTATATGAAGTGATGTGTTTTCTCTCCACCAAATCTAGAGATTACTACTCTATGAATTTGCTCTTTGTGTATGAGTCAGTTTTTAGACTGATAACATAGTCGTAGGAAGTGATTAAAAACATATTTTCCAGGCTTTGTCATTGTTTTGAATTTGTACCTGTAAAGTTTCACATCTTGTTTATGGTTTCCTTCCATCCCAAATATACACACAGACACTTATTTGACCCCCATCATGTTTCATAAGTCAGTCCTGAGCATGAGAGGCAGAACGTGATTGTTTTTATGCCTGATTGTTGTGTTTTATGGGATGACAATTGTCTTGAAGAGCGTGCGAGTGCGTCTGACTCTGGAGTGTGTTGATCTCCTCGCTCGACCGGTCCGACCAGCTGCTCTATTGTGTTTCGTGTGGAATGACAGAGATGTGTGTGAGAATGCGCTGCTGTTTTGTGTTTGTTATCTATCACATGACGCCACACCGCCCACAGCTCCCCAGAACACCTGACACAGGTCTCTGATTTTGAGCTGATGCTAATTCATATTAACAGCTGCATTACAGGTTTAGGAAATTATCTTTGAGTTCATGTTTTGTTTCGTTTAAGTTATTATTATTCAATTGATTTTAAATATATAATG